TTCTGCTGTTCCACCTCCTCTGTTGAAGGAGACTCCAGCGTTTTACCTTCGGCCCATGGTTTGGGTTCATAGGCCACAGTCGCTACAGCGGTGGCTTATATACCAGTGTATCGCAACACGGTTATTTTTGTTAATTTTTTGTTATTGAAACTATACGAAAAACTGACAGTGCTTCATTAAGCGGATTTCCTAAAGGAATGCGCTTTTTATACTGACTGCAAAGCAAAACCAACATTTGCGGATGATTTCTAATGACTTTCAATTTTGCATTTCAAATTGGAGTCCAAGCGAATGGCATTAATGACTGTGAGCTTTCCCCAGTCTCCCCCATTGCAATGTGAAGGCTACGGAAATGTAGCGCTTCTATCACGAGCTGTTTTCAAACTTCATTTTCCAGCAAAGTTAATGAAAGTTCTTTGAACATTCCCCAATGTTAATTATCAATTTTGATCTCCTGGACACATTTTGCACGTGACAGGTATTCGAGATAACTTGCATTTATGCAACGCTTTCGTGTTAACAGTGCTTCTTGGTCATTTGAATTTCAATGGCCTTCAATTTTCCACATCAGAAGCCCCCCTCACTGAAGCCTTGCGGGCCTTCAAATTGTCTTACTGTTTCAAAGCAAGATTTTAATCATAGCCGTATATAGGTGCTGGTTTCCAACAGGGAGAGAGTCCAGCTGCTGGCACACTTTGAAAATAGATTGAGCAAAAACCTTCAGGCATCAGCTTATCTCGCAGAGAAAATTGTATATTCATGACATAATTATGCGTGAATAGTTTATATCCCTTAGTAATTCCAACTCCTGCATGAAGACCCCATCGTACCTTGTCAGTGGCTATATTTTAGTAACGTAATATCCTTTTCACATTGTGTCTTTAGAGATTATACTTGCCGCAACACGACTTGTCACTCCGTTAGTATTTCGTTATTATTATTATTATTTTGCTATACAGATGTGTTTACTGAAGTGCAACGGAGCGCAATGAAGCGCTCTTCATCGCGTGGCCCGCGGGTCACTGATGGCCCCTGGTGGCCTTCAGTGCGGCCCCTGACGTGCGGGCCCCCGACAAAGTCAGTGCCGGTTTATCCCGGTAGCAAAAGTCGCTACACAAGTAGCAGCTACGGTCCCCGCGCTTTCAAAGGCCCCACGCTAAACGCTTTCAAGCTATCAATTCCGGTACAGTGAGATTCTGCACTTGCTCCATTACTATAGTGCTATGCTACTAAAGTCACGTAGGTCGAAAAAATAATAAATCTCTACGTTTCGATCGAAACACAAGCACCCCACTTGTCCCACCAGTATTGGGAAGCCATCCGAGATATTCCCACGTTGCTTCACAGTTTTGACGAGTCCTCGATCTACCATTCGTGGAGTAAACAATCCCCAGCACCTCCTCCTCCTTCTCCTCCGTCGTTCCCCTGTGTTGGTGGCGCACGGTAGAGAGCGGTCCCCGCTGCCATCGGGGTGGCGGAGAGAAACCAGGGAGGGGGCTTCAGTGAGGTTCTTGTTTCGGGCGTCGCTGTGTGCCTCACATCTCGTGTCCTCGTCGAAGTTTATTCAATTTTAACACATTTGTTGAGCCGATGAATTGCGTGCTCAATTTGGCCAACAACAACAAGTGACTACTGTGTGACGAACGGAATTGTTTAGAAATGTATATATATTCTTATCAATCGTGAAATGTGTACGGCGTTTTAATAGTCCTGTATGTGATTTACGTAAGCCGAAAATAATCTAAATTCAAATGAACGTATTCTATTTAAAATCGGTGTTTAATAAACCAACCGGAAACCAAAGTGTCTCCCTCATCATATAAGAAGTGTGGCAGTGCTCATGAAGTCAATGGTGTAAATTTAATATTGCCATTACGGGGCAAGTGTATCCAAAGGATGGACAATTTATTATTATTATTTTATATGTTTAGAGCGTCTTGGCTCAAGGCGCTTTACATAGCTTGAAAAGCGGAAAACAAATAATCGAGTGATGTCGATGGCAGAGGCGTGGAAGGGCCGAGGAATGAATGACCGGAGCAGAGGACACACGAGGATCACTAAAGGGCTCTTCTGTGGGAGCGACAGGGAGGAGTGGAGGGGCGAGGGGAGGGAAGAGGAAAGCGAAATGGTAAACTAAATACGTGAAGGCAAAGGTGCAGGCCTGCAATGTCTTGCTCATGCCACGACTGGTGGAACAGCCTCCACGAGAGGGAAATGGGGCCGTCCATAAATGACGTCACGCGATTTTGGATGATTTTTGACCCCCCCCCCCGCCCCTCGTCACACGGCGTCACAAAAAGTCAGACCCCCCCCTCAAATATGACGTCACAAAACTCGTATTTAATGTGGCGCTGCACTCTGATGTTGTAGGAGAAAACATTTATTAAAAAGTCTATTTAATTAAGTAGAACGTGTTGTCTATATTTATTTAAAGTTGCGCATTTTTACGTGACGTCACATTTCTCAAACCCCCCCTCCCTCGTCACACATCGTCACAAATGTCTGACCCCCCTTCCCCCCCAGGTGCGTCACGTCATTCATGGACGCCCCCTTTTTTACTGCTAACGGTGTAAACCAATGATAACCCCACTGTATGAATGGTTACCGTGGTTTTCAGCACGTCTGAGCAGTGTGGAAGAGTAGACCAAAACCCCTCTAGAGCTCCTGCAAGTGCATGCAGCGGTGAGAGCAAGCGACCACAGGGCTGTACCTCTTGCTATTAACTGAGGAAACGAGGGCAAATGCACCACCTACGATGCCATCCGATGTGTACGTTTGCAAACGTCAATCGGTGCATTTGTCACGAAACATTCAGCTGGGGATGACCGGCTTCCTGACTTTCGGGAACCGATTCTTAAAAGGGTTACCGGTTAACAACCACGGTAGTTAGGATGGTGTTTTGCATTCTTGTCAATGCACCCAATATGCGCCACCAACACCATCACCACCACCACCACCACAGTACACAGGCTTTAGTTCATGGGTCAGGCAATATGTGGATACCAAAGGTTGTGGCAAACATTTCGGTAACCCAACTCCTGTACATGGCTCCGAAAAGTAGATTGAAAAATATCGATTGAAAAAAAAAGAATTGCTTTAGAACTGTGTTTAATTTCTCGTCCTTCCCTGCACCTCCGATTAGCACAGTTGGCTACGTACGGTGCGAAAAGAAGTTCGACATACACATACATACAGAAGCGGAGCATGTGATAACAACGTTGTATTCTTCTTTCACGTAATACGAAATGCGTGTACAAATCATACATCGATCTCCGAGTTAGAATTCCATTTGATGACTTCATGTCACAGTGAATGGATTTCGCGCGGGCCTCAAGAGAAGGAATGTGGCGCGCAGGGGTTTGCCAAGCGATCGATCATAACGTAATTAAAATGAGATTGCTTAATTTCCAGAAAACTCAAAGACACAGTTGTCCGCGGTTGGCAGAACACGCGTCAGGAAGGGCACGCAATTGAAAGTGATGTTACAATCCTGTGTTAAACGACCTATTGTTGGCAATGATGAATGAAGGAATCAAATGAATTTGAGACAATAAATACTATAACTGCAATGCGGCTGATAGCTATGAACTGTGTGCTGTCTAAAACAAACTATTTTATATTGATAATGATACGCAGATTGCCGATTTAAGCAATCTTATTAAATTGCACAACTTAATTCATGATAGCATTACATAACTCTGTTCAGGTTAAATAAATAGGTCACTCAATTACTATAATGTAACACCAACGATCTGTTCAATGCGCCATTATCACAAAAAAATATCATGGTGCTAATCTCCACGGTTCAAATTAAAGTGACATCGTAAAAAAATGTTGATAAATTAATGATTTATTCATGGATACCTCACTTCAATTATAACAGCGTGACACAATCTTAGCTTTTTAATTTAAAGTCTTCCGTTATATAATTACAATAACGTCAATAACTAACACTATCTTTTACGAACTTTCCCAATATTACTGTGGCCCAGAAGCTTCGCGGACGACCCAGGCCCGGGATCTTCTGCGCCGTTGGGTCTTTCACGAGCAGGCGTTGTGTTTGCAGACTCCTCGTGAACCTCCGTTCGGCTTTTCAAACATCCTCGCCAGGGTTCAAGTTGCGTTGTCGAAGGTTAAGCGCATCGGTCCACGGGTGCTTGCACAGTGGCGAGATGTTAACTCCCTCGCCGGGTATGTATGAGGTTGTGGATTCTATCTTGCGTGTCTCTCGTCCCGCAGTGGTCGCGCGCGGAATTTTTCTTCGGGTCCTCCAGTTTTTCCATCCACATTCAGCATCAATGCGCTTTCAGAGTTATTTGGCCGCTACAAATTTCTACACGATAATTAGCCACTTCGTTGAGCTATCGTTTGTGGCCAGGTCGCTTCTGAAAAAAGAGCTGCTTAGCTCAGTGGACCTTACCTGGTAAAATAAAAAGTAGTTTAAATTAATTTTGACAAATCACATCGCGTTATGAAATGTATTTTAAACGTTGAAACGCCTTGCAGGAAGTAGTCCCGGAACTGCGATAACAGAGCACAAATTGTCTTCATCTCGATCGGTCATGAGCTATCGGGTGGCCCCAAAAGTCAGGGACATTTAATTTAGCCTTAACAAATGTTCAAACTAGCTTCACATGAACATTGATGCGCGATGCATTCTTTTTTTATTTTATACTTATAAAAAAACGATTACCGCACACGTGTAGTCTTTTAACGATACAAACACATATTCTTAGCTCTTTCGGTAAAGTCACGTTGAAGGGAAACAATATATATTTTATTATTTTATTGTTTCCCTTCAACGTGACTTTTCCGAACGAGCTAAGGATATGAATTACTGCAGTCACGAAAGCTTTAAATCAAGATACAAACACATGTTTAGGTGTCGTGGTGGTGACGGTGATGGACGTTATTGAGACCCCTGGCCGATTTGGCGTTGGGGGGGGGAGGTGGAGGTGGAGACGTCTCCCTTGCAACACACGCCGTGTCTCCCTACGCAGGCCCAACAGTCGGTGGCGATTGGGAGGAGGGTGGAGTGGTGGTGGTGGTGGTGGTGGTCAATCCGGCATGGACGCCCTCCAGGAGAGCCCACCGTCCCACCACAGCCTCCCGTCGGCGCTCCCTTCGGCCACCGGCGGCAACGGCACCGTCGCCACGATGCACAACCCCTTCGAGAGGCCCCTGGAGGGCATCGCGCCGTGGAACTTCACCATGTTGGCGGCGCTCATGGGCACCATCACGGCGCTCTCGCTCGGCGAGAACTTCGCCGTCATCGTGGTGACCGCTCGCTTTCGCCAGCTGCGGCAGCCCCTCAACTACGTGCTCGTCAACCTGGCGGCCGCCGACCTCCTGGTGTCGGCCATCGGCGGCAGCGTCAGCTTCTTCACCAACATCAAGGGATACTTCTTCCTCGGCGTCCACGCCTGTGTGCTCGAGGGTTTCGCGGTCACCTACTTCGGTAGGCGGACTTCCGCGCACCGTGCCTGGCCGGCGGGAAAGCCGAGCGTGCCGCGCCGGTTGGCCGACCGGCGTAAGGGCCCGGGGGCTCAAACAGTTCCGTCTCTCTGCGTGCCCGTGTGTGCATGTGTCAACGTGCGGGCAGCGGTCGTGTTAGCGGTTAGCGCGCTAACCCGGCGACCCGGGTTCGATTCCCGCTCACGGCCAACACCGGTGGCGATTATCTGAACCGGTCCTGGGCCTCCCCTAGGTCCACTCAGCCTCAAATTAGTACCTTGTGCGGTGTGTAAACATCGTCACTGGGGAGACAAAGGCGGTCAGGCGTGGTACTGGTCACCCACCCCTTCGTGTGCCGCGCCGGCCTTCATTGGTGCTCGATAACAGCACTTGCCCCTACAGTCTGTTAAGTCTATATGGGGTGTCTTTGTGTCACGTCTTTTTTTTAGACACCTCGATAATCGTGGCCTCTCCATAATTCTCCATAATTCTCACTTCCTACTGACGCCTGCTATGGAAGATTGCAGTGTAATAGATGGCGTTATCTGCAGCTTGCTTACTTGCAAGAAGAAAAAAATCTTATAATGAATAGCAGACGCTGTGAATTGACCTGTGTGTTTGTACATCGCTGCCATGATTATACACTGTGTAACAAATTGTGTTTTTGTTCCTGGGTAGTAAGTGTTATCTCCTAATTGCTTATGCCTCAAAAGTACAGAAAATGGCTATTATTCCCCCAAAAAATTGCTTTTGTGACCAGGACAGTGATATTTTGAAATTTACCTATTTTCCAGAACATTCCAAATAGATTCAGTGTTGAGTAAACTTGGAGTAACTTCTGGAACATTCTAGAGCTTTCCAGTAATATAAATAGTAGTATAAATACAGGGCCCTTAAGCCCACCAGTTCAGTCTAGTTCCAGCTGCCTAATTGGATACATATCTGCATTTTTCTGAGATGGCATCAAGCGGCAGCATCTGCTAAGATGTGTGAGGCCTACAAGGCATAATTCGGCATGCCTGTCGGAGATCAAGACAAACCCTGGGCACCTCATTTCACCTGCGAGCAATGCAAAAACACTTAGTCATGGGTGAAACAAATGCATTTTTGTAGGATGGTACAGAGGGGAAAAGAGAGCCATGAAATTCGCTATTCCAAGAATTTGGCGGGAACCCACTGACCACTCAAGCAACTGCTACTTCTGCATGGTGGACCGTTCCAAACGTCAGACTGGCAATAATGCACCTGCTATCACTTATCCAGACCTTCCTTCATCCAATCGCCCCGGTGCCACACTGCCATGAGCTCCCCGTATCCACTCCTCCAGAGAGAGAGCAGCCGTCTTTAGAAGAGAGCAGCAAGTCAGAGAGCGAGGAAGACGTTGTAGATCTAGATGGCAATTTCAGAGGTCGAGCTGAGGAGAGAAACCCATACTACCCCAACCAAAAAGACCTCAACGACTTGATCAGAGATCTTGGTCTCACAAAGTCCAATGCCGAGCTTTTGACGTCTAGGCTCAAGCAGTGGAACTTGTTGGATGAAAGTGTGCAAGTCGCAGATCAGAGGAAGCTTCACCAACCTTTTGGCAGATTCATCACCCGTAAAGATGGGCTCTGCTTCTGCCACATTGTGACCAGTCTGTTCGAGACAATCGGAATCGCCTGTAACCAGAATGAGTGGCGCCTCTTCATTGACAGCTCATCCAGGAGTCTAAAAGCCGTGCTGCTCCATAATGGTAACAAGTACCCGTCTCTTCCCCTGGCTCACTCGGTGCACCTCAAAGAGGATTACAACATCCTCAAGACCTTGCTGGACGCCTTGAAGTATGATGAGTTTGGCTGGGAGGTCATCGGAGACTTAAGAATGGTGGAGCACTACTACAGCTGACCGAGTTCTCTGTGGGGAGGAACAACGTCAGGTGGGAGCCACTGGTGGACCAACAGGAGGTGCTGATGCCACCACTGCACATCAAATTGGGCCTCATGAAAATTTGTCAGAGCTGTAAATAAGGAGTCGGAAGCCTTTAAGTACCTTCGAGACTTCTTCCCTAAGCTGTATGAGGTAAAGGTCAACGCCGGTGTCTTCGTCGGACCACAGATAAAGAAGATCCTGGAGTGCAATGAATTTCCCAAGAAGCTCACTAGGAAGGCGAAAGCGGCTTGGAACAGCTTTGTCGCAGTGGTTCGTGGCTTCCTGGGAAATCACAAGGTCGAAAACTATGTGGAGCTGGTTGAGACTGGTGAAGAACTATGGCACAGTGGGCTGTAGGATGTCCCTCAAAGTCCACAACCGTGATGGTCATCTTGATAAATTCAAGGAGAACATGGGAGCGTACTCGGAGGAGCAAGGTTGAGCGTTTCCACCAGGATACACTGGACTTTGAATGCCGCTACCAAGGACAGTATAACGAGAACATCATGGGAGACTACATTTGGGAGCTGATTCGTGAAAGTGAGTTATAATATAATCATTGATCTCGAAATTCCTTTTTAGTCATCTTTGTATTACTTTAGTTTACATACATGTTAACTTTGATTAATGTTTTTTTTCTGACTTGATGTGAACGAAAATACACAAATTGGCCGTTTTCTCATTGAAAATAGGTACATTTCAAAATATCACTGTCCTGGTCACAAAAGCAAAGTTTGTGGGGAATAATATCAATTTTTTTATACTTTTTAGGCATAAGCAATTACAAAATAACACTACCCAGGAACAAAAATTGTGTAACATAGTGTTATCTCTCTCTTTCCCTTTCTGTGAGCCGCGTCCTATCTCAACGACGAAATGGTCTTCCTTCCATTCAGCTCTGGCCATGATATTTACTGGGAGCATCAAATGCTCCCTGTTGTGTCCAATTGTTCACATTGCTGATTTAATTAGCTGTCATCCCTGGCTTCCTGTTTTGCCTGCAATATTCCCAGTCAAAGTGTCGTGAGTTCAACTGAGTTGCGGACATATACTTGGAGGCAACACATTTATTTAACTCCAACACACGGGGTAACTTTCCCCGAACAGAATAACAACCTGTGGTGGTGACCACCAGGCTAATTACACTATTACAATGTAACTGGTGTAGTAAGCCAGGTGGTGACCACCAGGCTAACTACACTAATTACAACGTAACTAGTGTAGTTAACAGGGTGGTGACCACCAGGCTAACTACACTAATTACAACGTAACTAGCTACTACGGACCGGGACCACAGCTTGGGTTCAGGTCCACGTGTTGGAGACTCTGTAGGACGTAGAACGTAGACGAAGGTTTATTCAGGATGAACAACAACGCCGGTCCCTCTGGGGGACCCGGCTTCTATTCTCTGCGGCGTGGCTGGCTCCGCCCTTGGCCACGACCACCTTCCAGAATCCTCGGGAAGGATCTGGATGCTAACCACGTGACCACCCCTAGCCCCCACTTGGGTTCCTTTGTAGACTTAAACGGTCAGTCACGTGTCCTCTCGGGTCAACCAGAGTGCCATGGCCTCAAGTAACCTCATCCTACGGCCAGCACTCACACACCCTGTCCTGTAGGGTTGGCATTGCACTCCAAGCGTGGTGCCATCCAGCGCTATCCATCAGCACTCACCGGGCCCCTCTAGGGCCAGTTCTACACCCACACCCTCGTGGTATCCGCAATGTCGTTACACCGCACGCCGTGACCCTCTAGGGCCCGCAACGCAAAGTGACATCTCGTGATGTCAATACTATAAAGAAATTACATTCAGTTTCATGTTTTATAACAAAATTTCCAAGAAATCTAAATTGCCTTTCTCTAATCGCCATAAATGCCTTGCTGTACTTATCTCGTCCGTCCATCAAATGCTTAAAATCCTTTTTGAAGATTTCTGTTGCTGTCGGGTCTTGGTAATTGTCCTGCTTTCACATCCAGCAACAATGCAACAGTACTCTTAAATTCGTAAGAGAGGAGAGTTCATGCGTGGGTTTTCATGAGTATGCCGTAACAGTACTCTTAAATTCGCAAGAGAGGAGAGTTCATGCGTGGGTTTTCATGAGTATGCCGTATACTCTATAGCTCTCCGATGTGTTGTCCCTGACATAGCTCCCAGGGCATGGTCAGCGAAACGTCAGACATTGTGCCGAACGACACGCGGTACAACCCCGAAAACACACACACGAGGGGGTGGGTGGCCAGAAACACACCGGGCCTCCTGTGGCAATGTTTTACACATCACACGAGGTACTCAAATGAGGCTGAGTCGACCTAGGGGAGGCCCAGGACGGGTTCAGATAATTGTCACCGGTGTTGGCCATGAGCGGGGTTCGAACTCGGGACGCCGGGTTCGTAGCGCAACACGCTAACCGCTGCGCCACCCCTCTCCATTCAACCAGACAATAACAACCATCCACACACAACCGCCTTTTCATTCGGTTTGTGAGCCATTACGAGTCAAGGAGAATTTCCCCTTCAACTGGGTTTTTCAGGTGGACACCATCCCCGGATGTGGAGTGAAACCTCTAAGCCAGAATAACTTGGGGGAAGGGAGAGAGAGAGAGAGGGCCTTTCTGGCCATGCGAAATGTCAAGCACATTGAAATAATTAATGCATTCATTATTATCGAGCTTTTATTATATTCACACTTAATATTAAGTAGCTACATTTTTACATATATTGTTTTATATTTATTGACATGGTGCTGCAGTGGTAACACTTGTGACTCACACCGACAAATTCCTGGGTTCGATTCCTGACTTGGGCACCTTTGTGCGAGGAGTTTGTATATTCTGTCCCCCTGTTCTGCATGGGTTTTCCTCCAGGTCCTACGATGTCCTTCGCATAGATAAAAAAAAAAATCCAAAATGTAACTGGCATTGGCCAAACATCCAAATGCTGAAAGATGTATCTGCAAATTACTCGATTGGGATTACACACGGCAGCAACGTTGGCCCCCTCTCCTGCGAGGGAACACGAAAAAACAAAACCTGGCAGGACCCTCTTTGAAAAGAGTCTTGAGACTCGGTGAGAATTTGCTGGGTAAACAAGCAGCATCACAATAAGAGACACGAAACGCATCATTTCGTGATGCTGCATTTCACAGTGGTGTACAAGCACAAATAACGTCCGGGAAAAAAAAAAAAACTCAACACATTTGTCAATAACACTGCCTCAAATGTCTCCAATTCTTATCACTCTGGCCTCTATTTGCTATGAAGAAGAACAATTTCCAGAAACGTCGCTTTTATATGGTATGAGTGTCGACTGTTAAGATCGTATGAGTGACGCAAGCGCAGCAATAATAATAATGACACTTTAAAAATCGCAACGTGTGCCGTCCACTTTTAAAACACTGAGCCTGAACCAGATGGATCATGTTCCGAGCTTAACAGAAAGGGGCATTTCCGAAGGGCTTAGACAATTTATTTAGTTTCTTTGTAGAACTAAGCACCCTTTGCAATAGAGCCCAACCATGAGCACCTATGCGGTATCCTTTAATCGGTAGCTCGTGCATATATATGTGTGTATGTTGAACTTCTTTCGCACCGTACGTAGCCAACCGTGCTTATTGGAGGTGCGGGGGAAAGACAAAACAGCACCTCCCATCACTGTGCGTTACTCTCGCCGCGGTGGCGAGATGTTAAGTACCTGGTATGCAGGAGGTTGTGGGTCCGATCTCGACCCTGACGCCTGCAATATTTGGAGTTTGCATGTTCTCCCCGTGGTCGCGTGGATTTTTCTTCGCGTCCTCCCGTTTTTTGCCTCCACATTTAGAATCAACATGACGCGTTCAGACTGTTTGGCTGCTATGAATGTCCACACGATAAGCCACCTTTTTGAGCTATCATTTGTGGCCAGGTCGTTTCTGAAAAAAGACAAATATAGCTCAGTGGGCCTTACCTGATCAAATAAAATAAATCGTTTAGTTTTAGTTTAGGGTGAGAGAGGGAGTGATGGTGGTAGTGGTGCGGAATTGTTTCTCTTTGTCTCTATGCACGTGTTTGGTGCGGGACTCCCCACACCCCCAGGCGTGGTCGCCCTGTGGTCACTCGCCCTGCTCGCCTTCGAGCGCTACTTCGTGATCTGCCGTCCGCTGGGTAACTTCCGTCTGCAGTCGAAGCACGCGGTGCTGGGTCTGGCCGTGGTGTGGGTCTTCTCGCTGGCGTGCACCCTCCCGCCCGTGCTGGGCTGGAGCAGCTATCGCCCGAGCATGATCGGCACCACCTGTGAGCCCAATTGGTAAGTGTGATGATGTCTGTCGTTGTGCGATCCTGATGACGGCGATAATAATACAAATCGTAACGATCGTCGTGGATGGCAATTGCTTAAGATTTCTGAGATGCACCGATCGCGCTCCAGGTTTCGAACCTGGGGTGACCATCACGGGGGTTTTGTCCGCAAGGCGTTCAGGCTCTGGGGAATTCATAGCCCCCTGGAGGTCAGGAGCTCGCAGTTGTTGGGGACTTTAAGTCGCGACTGAATACCCCCACCACATCTGTTTAACATGGCCTACTCCCCTCCCTCTCTGTGCCTAGTTCTCCATCTTGTCACATAAAGTATCTCTATAACCAGTTACTTCCCACTTATTTTATTCGTTTACATAGATAGTGCTTTGAGATCCATTGCTTTTGGGTGCTTTAGAAATATCTATTAATATTAACCAGGAAAGAATATCTGAGCGTGAAGAATTGTTTTTTTTTACAAGAGTCCTGTATCTGGTAGAGGGCAGCTGCCCTGGTGGTGGTTTTGCACGCTCGCCCAGCATTCCAAACGCTGCAATCTAGTGGTTAGATGTTAATTACCTCGCCTGGTACACAGGAGGTCGTGGGTTCGATCCTTGCCGCTTGAATATTTGGAGCTTGCATGTTCCTCCCGTGGTTTGCGTGGGTGTTTCCTCCAGGTTCTCCGTTTTTTTCCCTCCACATTTAGAATCAACATGCATTTAGAGTATTTGGGTGTTATACATTTCCACATGACGATCCACTTCGATGAGCTATCATTTGTGGTCAGGTCGCTTCTGACAAAGAGCTACATAGCTCAGTGGGCCTTACCTGATAAAACATTTTTAAAATAACATTTCTTTGAAAAGAAAAAAAAATTGTTGCCGGTTTAATTAAATCTCCTGGCACAGCAGTTTACAATTAAGATTAAACATAAATTAGTTATATCCACCTCATGTGAAGGACAAAACGAACCCCTGCCCCCCCCCCCCCCCATTGTAGAAGTCAAACTGTGCCTATGGTTGAAACCATCATAGAGGTTTCTTAAACCCCAGCCGACTCTGTTCACCCAGCAGTGTAAAAGGTTTACACTAGGGCTGAACGATTTGGGGAAAATATCTAATTGCGATTTTTCTGACAGATATTGCGATTTGATTTGCGATTAAATTTTTTAAGTCAAGCTTCAGTTCAATATTCACTCTGTAATAGATTTAAAGCAGGTGATGGAGCATTACCACATGATACCATCAAAATGTGAACTGCTCTATATATTCTAATGCAAGGATGAGAACTTAAAATATATGATTTGCTTCCACCATGTATTTATGAAAATTTTGTAATTGTTCAGTTAAATAAATAATTTTTTATTTAAACCTTTCGTGACTGCAATGATTCATATTCTTGGTTCTTTCGGTAAAGTCACGTTGAAGGGAAACAATAAAATAATAAAATATATAACACAATATATGAAGGGAAACAATAAAAAAATATATAAAAAACAATATATATATAATTTTATTGTTTCCCTTCAACGTGACTTTACCGAAAGAACCAAGAATATAAATAAATAAAGTTACAATCATAAAAAAATAAATAAACAATTCCATTAAGAAAGTAACGGGACTTTTCAAATCGCAAAAAAAAAAATCGCAGCCCTTTGCGATTTGCCAATCACATTTTTCAAATTGCGATTTCGATTTGAAATCGATTAATCGTTCAGTCCTAAGTGACGACACCGGCACGGTCGGTCGATCAGCAGGTCGGTAAAGTGTGCCTACCCGTCCCTCTTCTAAGACGTCTCGCGAGCGTTGAAGGACAGGAGAAATGTCCTCTGGAGGACGCTCCCTGGAGCTCATTCGAGTGAAGGACCCTTCCGCCAGCAGTGACTTCAGCAAGCAATTGCAGGGGCTGGTAATGTGGAATTTTCTACAACTGACGAAGGTCCTACAACAGGAATCAACAACTGTTACCCCCTCGTGATCAGTGAGGCAGGGAGACACTTTGAATTGTGGCTTCGACTAAAGAATGCAGTGTTTAAAAATGGAATGGTTGATGATGGATTGTATTTGCCAATGCTGATAAAGTTTAGCCTCATGTGTATATTTTATCTTTGCAGGTATTCTGGCGAGCTGCATGATCACACATTCATCCTGATGTTCTTTAGCACCTGCTTTATATTCCCGTTGGCTGTGATATTCTTCTCGTACGGAAAGCTGATACAGAAGCTCAAAAAGGTATTTTCAGTGATCGCACCGACACTTTAGACAGAACACAGCTTTAATTGTATGCCTGATTAACCCACACCTCCGATTAGCACGGTTGGCTACGTACGGTGTGAAATAAGTTCAACATACGTGCGTGCAAACATATATGCAGTCATTTTATTTCAATTGAATAACATAATTGTATGTTTCGTGTTAAAATCGGACGTAGCTTTATGATTGATTATGTGTGGTTGGGAGAGTTTGATGAAAACAAAAATCAGAAGATTGTGAGTTTTAATTGTGGTCCGGAGTCACCTCAACTTATTATGCCCTTTGCAGCAAATAAAAATGAGCACCACTTGAAATAGAAAATCAACAGTTGTCAACCTTCACGTTTCCTCCCAACATAAGAATGTGGAAATCCATCACTGGCCCAGTGGCCAACCAATGTAAAGTTTTTTTTGTTTTAATTTAGTGTCGCTTCACGTCGCACACCAAAGGCATTGAATGTTGGTTATAATTGAATGGCCTTGATGAATTTAATAGCGTTCTCAAGCCACAAATAGCTGAACGGGTGCGATGCGTTTGTAATACTGATTTCCATGAATGATGGGATAGAATTCCCAAATGGCCAAGCAATGCAATGCAGTAATTGACTTGTACACGAAAAAAATGCACTTATATCAAAGTTAATAAGACAACAGCTCATCACAGAAAAAGAAAAACAATTCTGGCTTCAACCTTCGCACATGATATGCACGAGGGGGCAGGGGGAGGGGTGTGGGGGGCAGTGACGGGGCGTGGGGGGCAGGGGGGCGTGGGGGGTAGAGGGGGCGTGGGGGGCAGGCCTACCTGAGTCGTGGGCAGAGTGGACAGAGTGGACAGAGACAGGAGGCAGGGCCAGCGTCAGAGGACAACGAGTGGCCGATTGTGTGTGTGTGTGTTGGGGGGGGGGGGGGTGGGGGGCTAGCGATCGGGGACTAGTGACCGAGTCAGCGTAGCTAAGTAAAAATAGGCAAAGCTGAGGGAGTGAGACTGGCCCGCTTGGCACGTGTCCCGGTTGAGCCTCCCGGAATGTTGAGGGCGCTATCCCCGTTACGCCCGGCGGCCAGGCGTCGGAGACGCAGCGGGGGCTGGAGTCAACTCGGCGCGCCGAGCAGCAGGTGACGCGCATGGTGGTGGTGATGATCCTGGCGTTCCTCGTGTGCTGGATGCCCTACGCCACCTTCTCCATCGTGGTCACCGCGTGCCCCACCATCCACCTCGACCCGCTCCTGGCGGCCGTGCCGGCCTTTTTCTCCAAGACGGCCACCGTCTACAATCCCGTCATCTACATCTTCATGAACAAGCAGGTGGAGCGCTCGGCGTGCTTGGGCAAATTCCGAGCAGCTGTGGAGGCCGGCACGGTACACGAAGGGGGGGGGGGGGAGGGGGGTAGATGACCAACACCACGCCCGACCGCCTTTGTCTCGCTCGTTGGCGATGTTTACACGTAGCACCAGGTGCTCGTTTGAGGCTGAGTCGAACTAGGGGAGGCCCACGACCGTTTCAGATATTCGTCAAAGGTGTTGGACGTGAACGGGAATCGAACTCGGGGCGCCCGGTTCGTAGCGCACTGCAGCAGTAAGCACTGTTCCACTGCTTCACCAACACACAGGCGCGTACAGGCAACAACACCAATGATGCCCCATGTGGCTTTAACAAGGCCAAGGGCCGTTAGCCAGTAGCAGCACCTATGAAGGCCAGCACGGCACACGAGCGGGCCGGTGGCCGGCGCCACACATGCACAGAGACATGCATCCGGCAGTAGAGCAGGTGGGCTTGTGAATGCGTCTTGTTCAGCGGACTTTCATGAAGTGCTGTCACTTCTCGTATACACGGTGTGTGGCGCTGCATTTCGAATAAGGAACTTTATGATCTAAAATTACGATGATGATGTTAAGCTCAGGCTGCATGCTGTTAGTGACGATGATTTGTGAACCAACATTCCAGCGAACTGAGATTATTTATGGGGATTTAAAAAAAATCACTGTTGTTGAGTACAGGCACAAAGACCCACAAATAACAAGCAGCCAGCAATAAACAGCACTCATGAAGTTGCAATAGATACGAGTAGACAGTTTATTAAAAAAAATTGCCGGTATCAAATTTTTTTTTAAAAGTCCCATATGTAACAGCTCAACCCGAGCTATTAACGCTTCGATTTTCCCATTGTCGTTGTGCTGTTCACCTTTTAGCAATCTCTGGCCTAACGTTTGTGAGACAAGGCCATAAAGGAGTCTGTCTCGTGTTGGACAATGCGCTCCAAGGACAATGTGCACATTTTCAAAGCGTGCGTGTTTGCATGTTTCACCACAAGCGTGCATGGTCAATGTAGACTTGATGCCCTGAAACAGGTGGCTACTTGGTATTTGAACATCTTAACATTGTATTATTGCCTTTTCTGTTTTCATCGTATATATTTGATTATTTTATTGTTTCCCTTCAACGTGACTTTACCGAAAGAGCTAAGAATATAAATATAATATTTCATGAATGGTTTATCTCAATCTTTAACTGTTATACATTTATAATGATTTTGATTTAAAGCTTTCATGACTGCACGGATTCATATTCTTGGTTCTTTCGGTAAAGTCACGTAGAAGGGAAACAATAAAAAAAATATAAACAATAAAATATTTTTTTAAATTGTTATTTTATTGTTTCCCTTCTACGTGACTTTACCGAAAGAAGCAAGAATGTAATTATAATGATAATGAAGGGTGGTCCAAAAGTCAGGACACATAGGGCTATTTAATTTATTCAAACAATGCCATTAACACATTTCAAATAGTTTATTCTTTAAATTAACATTTTAATCTATTGTCATTATTCACGTCTCTTTTCCTTCCCTGTGGGGGTCACCACAAATCTGTCGTTTACAAAACTCGATCCAGAACCTTGAATGGATCGAGACTAAACACAATTGATGAATGTTCAAAGGTTACACCTGTAATTGTAAAATGTTTTTTTAAGAGTTAGAAATTAACTCATGCATCATTAATGTTCATGGAAGCCAGTTTTAACATTGTTAAAAAAATAGATAAATGAAATAACCCTATGTACTCTGACTTTTGAGCCACCTTATAACTCACGACGAATCGAGATGAAGGCAACATGTGTTCTGTCCTCACTGCTCCGTGACTGCTTCCTGCAGATACCTCAACATTTGCGAAAGAAAATCAAATAACCGATGTGAATTGTTTAAATAAAATTAACTAAATTTATTGTTTTACAAGGTAAGGCCCACTGAGCTATAAAGCTCTTTTTTCACAAGGGACCGGCCACAAATGACAGCTGAACGAAGTGGCTTATCGTGTGAACGTTTATATCAGCTAAATACTCCAATCCCATGTTTCTAAACGTGGAGGGAAAAACCGGAGGACCCGGAGAAAAATCCATGTGACCACAGGGAGAACACGCAAACTCCAAACATACAAGCGTCAGGGTTGGGATCGAATCCACGACCTCCTGTATACGAGACGATGCAGTTAACATCTCGCCACCACAGCGCCAATGGATCACGAGATGAGATAAAGGCGCTGGTGCTTTGACCCCCCTCCCACCTCCCCAGTTCCGCGACTGCTTCGTGCAGGTGTTGCCGTGCAAAGGCCTCAAGAAGGTTTCCGCAACCCAGACGGCCGGTGCGCAGGACACCGAGCACACGGCCTCCGTGAACACGCAGAGCCCCGGCAACAGGCACAACATCGCGCTGGCCGCGGGCAGCCTCAGGTTCACCGGCGCCGTCGCGCCAAGTCCGGCCACTGGGGTCGTGGAGCCAACGATGTCTGCGGCCGGCTCCATGGGGGCCCCTCCGAACAAGTCGACAGCTCCTTGCCAGCAACAAGGGCAGCAGCAGCAGCAGCAGCAGCAGCAAGGGACGCCAATCCCGGCCATCACTCACGTTCAGCCGCTGCTCACCCATTCGGAGTCTGTGAGCAAAATCTGTCCGGTGTAGGGGCATCGCGCGGTAGGGCAACGCACCAGCGGGACGGGGGCGGGGGGCAGCCTTGAAAGGAAAACGATTTGGGTGCACTGCTCCCTCTGGGCAGTCGAGCTGCGTCAGATGCAGGTTGACCGGAGGCTGCATCGTTGGGGAGGGGAGGTGGGGGGGGGGGGGTCCTTAAGGACAACGGTGCGATGGTTGGTGCAGTTGGCAACGTGACGAGCGGAGTTACGGGCAGGGGGGGGGGGCGGGGGGGGGGGGGGGAGCCGCCGGGACTATTTCAGGAGCGAGAGCCGTACGTGAGTCTACGGTGCTCTCATGAGAATTTGCCACGGTCTATGTGCTCACGCTAAGTGATTTTACGTGAGCGTCGTACGCCCCCCCCCACCCCCCACATACGCCTTCGACAGCACCCCCACCCCCCCCCCCCCCCCATATCTGGCCAGCACCTGGATGTGACCGATTATTATTATTGTTATTATTACTGGCTTTTCGCACCATGTGCGGAAGGGTGAAATCTTTTGTCCTTTACGTTGTGCCAGCAAGCTTCAGATTCTCTATTGCAAAGCAATGTTACCATGTGAGACAAGAGCTGCATTACGCCGCACATGTATGCATATAGTTAGTTTCAATGGCGATGCCACTACCGACAAGGGGAGGGGGTGGGGGGGTGGGGAGGGGGAGCAGCACTCTTGCCATGCTGCGTTCAGTCCATGCATCCACAGTCAAGCATTCTAAGAGTTTGACCTATCCATCGTTTCACATTTAAACACAACGATGTATGCATAATATCGATGTGTGTACATGCGGTGCCACTCTGTTGTGACGTCACAATGCGTTCCTGTAAACCCCGTCGTCGTAAATCGGATCGTCGTCAAGAGGACCCCATTTTTTCGAAGAAACAGTAGCAGCATCACTTGTCGATGTATGTCTCGTTTTTTTCTCTTTCTCTCTTTGGGCGTATTTAACGTGGTCTAATAGGTAAACAACCACAAAGCACGCTTGAGAATAACGAAAATCTCCACGCCAGGTCACATCGGGAACCAAACCGACTCTGTTTTAAGACGCGTCGTAAATCGAGTTTCTGCATCGTAAATCGATGTATGGTGGCATATAAACGTCATAAATGTGGATCATCCTAAATCGAACCATTGTATACCGGAGACTACCTGTATATGTGTGTCTGTGATCCTGCATTGTAAGCAGTGCGCAAGTCCCTGGATAACACTTCACTAAACATAGATTGTTCCCTTTAAGGGCAGTGCTGTTGACCAGCGGTCCCCAACCTTTTTGGCACCAGGGACCGGTTTCGTGGAAGACAATTTTTTTTCACGGACCGGGGAGGTTTTTGGGGGGGTTCATCATTGGGTCTTTCCCCCTTTTCAAAGAAGCTCTCCAGCGACGTTTGTTTTTTTGACTCATTTTGGCTGTAAGGGGTTAGAGCTCGTGGGCTTTATACCAACACTGTGGCTGAGACAAGCGCGCAGTGCGGGAAAGAGGCGCGGACGGAAGCGGCGAATAATAAAAAAATGGGGGCGGGCCACGTGCGGACTCACCGCTCTCACCTCCTGCTGCTGCTGCTGTGCGGCCCGGTTCCTCCTAACAGGCTACGGACCGGTACCGGACTGGTACCGGTCCGTGGCCCGGGGGTTGGGGACCTCTGCTGTTGACGGTCGCTCCTCTTCATCCGGCGCTGCTGAACCTCGTGGCAACAGTTCCCGCATTTCCACGGCCCGCCGCATCCAATTCTTCCCCAGGGAGGACAATTTCCAGCGTTGAGTGCTGAAAAAGCGCCACTAATTGTGATTCACCCGGAGGGGAGCTGGTGGGCCGAGTTGATCCCCACAGCCTTCCTGTCGCGCGTGGGTCAGGCGCTTCAACCCGCAGCGTCACGTGGCACTAACGTCCGTCAGTCTTTCTCTCAATCCACTGCTGGACGATGGCCTTCCCACGACAAGTTGCTCGCCGTAGCATCGTGCACACTAGCTGCGAGTGTGCATTTCTGGTCTAAATGTTGATATTTGTGATTGTTGTTGTTGTGGGTTTTATCCTGAATGCAAATGAAACACAGGTGCATTCCCTGGTCCGACTTTTGCAGAGCGGTTGATTGGGCTTCATACTTGCAAACGGAAGCTTGAAAAACGTTGAATTGCGCAGCCCTGCAATTGCTTGCCCACATCCCTGCTTGGGGAAGAGCCTCCACTAAAAGGCTATCAATAGGGATCCTCTCAAATGTATTTGGCCTACTCTTCCACGCTGGCCAGACGTCTTAAAATAAATGGGAGAAACCCACCCCCTTACACCACCAACGCTGGACTAACCCAGTCATACGGCTGGGTAAACAGCAGTGAGCGGGGTCTAGAAATCTAGCCCCATTGTTTGGAATGCCATGTTGGAAGGTCAAAACAGTGACCTATTGATTGCAAGTCACAGAGTGCTGACCATTACCCATGGCAGCATTGAGGGGATCCTCAGGTGGGGGTTGACTCTGCCCCATCATTCATGAAATATTGAGTCACTACCAAATGCAATGAGCCCCTGCCTCCACTTATTTAAGCAGGGGGACGCTTTCAACTTCGGAGTCCCCCCTGTAATGAAATGTAAATACGTTGAACAGATCGTAGTCGCAATGCCGGGGTTCGTTGATTGGTCATCACAATCGGGTTGCAACGCACGTGAGAGATTGAGGTTTCACGCTAATACTGGTAGGAACGAAGTTGTAAACTGAGTGTACCAGCCTGCAATAGATTAATGTGTCCGTCCGTCCGTCCCCTTTCAATACTTTAACGAAGTGAAATCTCGTGCTGTTGGGTGTAAAATCAGCAATAGACAGCGCAGAGACTTGTCCTACCAGCCCACCCTGCAGGGACCTGTTTATAGAGGCGCCCTGTTGCTTCTCTTCAACGTGGAGTACAATACGTCATGTCAGACTCGCTCGCAATTAGGCGATATGTGAACTGGCCGTTCGTTTGATTGTTAATCCGCTTGTCCTGGTGACGGTAGCGGCTTGCAGCGTGTTGAGTAGGGCGGTCCAGACCTCCCTTACCCTAGCGACAGACTCTAGCACTACAATACTATACACTACACTACTATACACTACTATACACTACACTATACACTACTATACTATACACTACACTATACACTACTATACACTACACTATACACTGGTATACAGTACACTATACGCTACTATACACTACACTATACACTAATATACAATACACTATACACTACTATACACATACTATACACTACTATACACTACACTACAATACACTATACTGTACACGACAATACACTAAACACTACAATACACTACACTATACACTACAATATACTACACAATACACTACTATACACAGACTATACACTACACTATACACTACTATACACTATACTATACACTACTATACACTACACTATACACTACAATACACTACACTATACACTACAATACACTACACTATACACTATACTATACACTACATTATACACTACAATACACTACACTATACACTACTATGCAATACACTACAATACACTACACACTACAATACACTACACTATACACTACAATACACTACACACTACAATACAATACACTATACACTACTATACACTGCACTATACACTACAATACACTACACTATACACCACTATACACTATACTATACACTCCTATACACTACACTATACACTACTATACACTACACTATACACTACTATACACTACTACACACTACTATACACTACACTATACACTACTATACACTACACTATACACTACACTATACACTACTATACACTATACTATACACTACACTATACACTACACTATACACTACTATACACTACACTATACACTACAATAAACTACACTATACACTACACTATACACAGACTCTAGCTCTTCCTGGGGAATTCCCAGGCGTTCCCAGGCCAGCCGAGCGACATCGTCCCGCCAGCAGCAGCAGCGTGGTCCTGGGCCGGCCCCGGGGTCTTGGCCCAGTGTGCCGTGCTGCTGCTGCTGCTGCTGCCCGGGAGAGTTCCAGGGGGAGTCTACCGGGGGGCATCGTCACCAGGTGCCCGAACCACCTCAACCGGCTCCTCTCGATCCGGAGGAGCAGCGGCTCGACTCTGAGATCTCTCCCGGGTTACAGAGCTTCTCCCACGATCACTGAGAGTGATGAGTCCGGCAACCCTGCGGAGAAACCTCATTTCGGCCCCTTGTGCCTACGATCTCATCCTTCCGGTTATTATCCAAAGTTCGTGACCACAGCCGAGGGTGGGAACGTAGATCGACCTGTAAACCGAGAGCAAATCGGACAACACAATTATCGCGGATCTTATATCGTATAATGTATCATCTGAGATGCCGCAGTGGGGAGATGTCATCTCCCTCGCCTGGCAAGCAGGAGGTCGACGTTTCGATCTCGAATCCTGACGCCTGCTATATATTTGGAGTCTGCATGCTTTCCCCGTGGTTGCATGGTCTTCCGTTATATTTCTCTCCACATGTAAACACGCGGTTTACAGGATTTGGCCGCTGTAAATTTCCACGCGATAAGCCACTTCGTTGAGCTCTCATTTGTGGTCAGATTGCTTCTGAAAAAGAGCTATACAGCTCAGTGGGCTTTTCCTGGTAAAATAAAAAAAATAGTTTCGTTTTTAGTTTAGTGTCGTATTATCGTTACATCGTGGCAACCCTTCATGGGGGGAAAAACAACTCGACAAAACCCGTAGTCATTATTTTGAAATGTGTTTGCCTTGCGTCGCCTGTCTTGAGAAGGTTTATTGTTTATTGTACTGTTTGCTTTTCAATAGTAATCTACATGCGGCAGCGTCCGTCCGTTACACCCGGTGTGTAACAACTCTGGATCTTGCATGTGAATTGACTTGTACAATAATAAAGGATACGGAGTGCATCGATACTGTCGCATGCCGTCTTAATTACGCATTCGGGTGAATATCCGGTGTCGCGTCCTTTATAATCATGTGTTACATATGAGCCTCTTCTGTATGGATTTTAAATCTGTGCGATTACACGGACCCCTCAAACTCGACTCAAGAAGCATCAGAAACGTGTGTTCTGTTTTCTTTTTTTAAGAAGGATGTTAAACATTTCACGGACAGCCACGAGATCTTACTTTACATTTTCAGGGCGCCTTAGCTCAGGACACTTTACA